CATACTGAGGACAGCGATCACTTGCCACGGAGATCAAATCCGATTTCGTCGCCATGCTTCTAGCCTCATCTGGTTGCGCAAGGCTGAGGTTGCGGCAGTATTGCTAGTCGTCTGCAGTGAAGGTCTGACAGATGGCTGTGGTGCTGTGGTACTGTGGTAGCATGCAGCAACTCTTTCACTTTTTCTGTCCCAGCATTCATCTATCGCTGTTGATCACCCAGCCTGTGGTTTGTCCCTTGGTCGATACAAGGTCCTCCAGGTCCTCGCTTCCGTGACGCGCTTGCCTCGAGATAAAGCCCTTGAACGCACCGCACCGCAGGCATCGAAGGTGCTTTCCCCCCCCAAAGATGGCCCTATACCCTGATAGTGACTGGCTTCTTTCTCATGGTTTCTGTGAGCCGCTTCCCCATCATTCCAGCCTATATTTCTTCATCCCCATTGAAATTGGTGCCGCGTCTACCGTTTTGTCCTCCTGATCGCCCACCTCGCAAGATGGCGCCAAATCCTGACCCTGCTTCTCTCAGCGCCCACAGCCGTCGGTGTTCCATTTCTGCCATTCCGCGGCCAAAGTCTGGTACTTCTCGTCATGCTACACCCATAGGTCCTCGAGGAGACCGGAGAGACTCGGCAGCAGGGACAAGGATTCTGAACATCGGTCACAAGTACAGGAAATCATGGCACCCAGAAGACAGTGTCCCGCCTAGCTCATTTCGGATGCGTCAACCACAGGTCGCGAACCCCGGGAATGAGTCTTTGCTTCCAGACAAGCAACGATCTCATCATGATCTGTCCGGAACCCAACAGCAACTCTATGTTCGAACCCTGTCCACGCAATCCCTGAGCGGACCTGATGCCGTCGTAGCTCCACATCAGCTCAAACAGACATCCAGCACTACCGCACTGCCCAAATCCAAGACGATGAGCAGCCTCCTCTCTTCACCCCGTGAGACCATCACCAGAAGACGCCTCCTTCAACCACTCGAGCCCCCGCTACCACAAACGCAGACCTTGGGCAACATCTCATGCTTTGGTCCACTAAGTGAAACGCCTTCGCCGAGGAAGCCCATCTCGGTTTCCCTTTCCCCGCCACAGCGGCACTGTGACAATGGAAGTCACCTCAGCGCCGCTGATGCTTTGGTCGAAAGTAGGATGACGGAAAAGGAGAGGGACTTGATGATCCGGGTCCAGAGAGAGGCTGCAATCAATCGTGCTCGACTCAGAAATTCTTGTCAACACCGAAACCCTCTCGAATATCCTCTTGCGCAGTCAACGAAGCGAACAAATGAGCAAACAGCGACCCTCAAGTTGTCGCTGAATGACGTTGCCAACACACAGCGTGTTGAAGGCATGAAGAGGACATCCTCCTCTGGGCGGCTCCTGTTCATCAATTCCACTCTAGCAAACAAGCACTGGCGAGAGAGGGACCTTCCAACCTCAACAACAATGACGACGAGCATTGGAAGCATTACCAGCTCGATTCCAAGCCAGGGTTCTGATAGTGATCCAAGACATGTCAGAGACCACCAACGTTCCTGCACCAGTGCAGCTATGCTAACCGTCAACCAGGTATATGTTGCTGAACACGCATCATACTGGACCGGGCGATATGTGTCTATTTGTGACCGACTTCGCACGAAGGAGCTTAACGTACCACCCCCATCACCGTCGGAATCGAGCGAAAAGAAGACTGATCGTCTTTTTGACAACGGTGAGAGAGTCCGTATGAACAATGCGCTCAATGAACTGAGAGAGCATTGCAAGACGGAAGAGGCCTTGAAGAGCTTTGACGACTTCGAGAATGCCCTCCTCAAAAAAATAGGAATATCTCGCCAGAGCTTGCGTCGAGCTGGAAGTCTCGCGTTTGCGGGTAAAGGGGTAGAAAGGAAGCAGGGAATATCCGAGTCGAGTGGTTCTAGGCTATTCCCCTTGAACATGTCGAATTCTCCCGGCAACGCGTCAACGCCAACAAGTCGAATATCAAGCGTCAATGCTGACGCTGTGCCGCCCGAAAGTTCCAAGTTGTTCTATGGTGAAGGCGCAATCGCAAAAAGCAAGACTACTGGCAATCTGGCAGCCCTCATCCCCCTCATCCCCCTCATCCCAAAAAGGCAGTATGTGGTTGCAAGCAGTTCCCTGCCAAAGTCGAATACCGTCCAGCCACTTTCACATAGGCGCAAAACATCCTACTTCGATTGTTCTCCCGAAACTCGAGCTAAGGCTATGAAAGAGCGAGAGGAACGGGCCTCTCGTAGAGCAGCTGAGGCCCATCGACGTTCAAGCTCACATATGCCGGTCTTGGACGTGACCAAGAGTCGGGGGCAGAGCAAGGACCAAGGATCATCTTCCAGGGTTGTGAAAATCTCTGAGGCGGCCCAGTCTCAAGTCAACTCTTCCACCTCCAAAATCGATGCATCGGGAGCAGTGGCAGATTCCCTGAGTGCTGCCATGCTCGAGAACGGTTATGTTCCGCCCCCACCGAATACCATGAGTACGGATTTGCCCTCTCGAGTGGAGCTCGTGGAGCTGTCTGGGGGTGGGAAAGGGAAGGTCGTCAAGTCACGGCGCAAGACCGAGAGACAGATCAGCGGAGAGATGGTAAAGATCTTGTTTGGAGCTGGTATGCGAGAGGCGAAGAGGATGGGACGTCGAGTAAGTGGGATGAGCTGGCCCAGAAGTAGCGATGAACTTATAACGCCTAGGAGCGGGAGCAAGTGAGAATGTGTTGGCGAAGGGCGTCAAGAGAGGGATTATGCGTTTAACATTGCGGCAGTTGGTCGTTCAGATAGGGGAATAGGGTGCAGAGCAGAACGCATTCAGACAATTCTATGCGAGCCATCAAAATTATGCCGACACCCAATGGAACTCCACCTGTACATCCCTCTCACCATTCCCGTCATCAGCAAATAGGTCGACCTTTTCAAACCTCTTCGGAATGCGATGCGTGTAAAACACGCTCCGATTGTGGTAAGTGAGCACATTGATCCCATCATCGTTCTCCGCGTATGAAAATATTCCCTGTGCCGTAGCAGAGTTTATACATTCGAATCTAGCGGTTTTGGGGTTGACCAGGCACGGGGCGTACGATGAAGAGAGGGAGAACAACGTTTGGTGGCCGGGGTCGACGACGTCGTGTTGGGCGCGGAAGGTCGCGCACGTGCCAGAGACGTACCATTGACCCTGCCGGATGAGGCAGCCCTTTTTCAGGGACGCAGAAGAGGTACTGCTGGAGGAGGAGGCGGCGGCGGAGGAGGAGTCGAGGATGTGGATTTCTAAGTGGCCTCGGCCTGTGAATGGAACGGCTGTGCTTGTGCTTGTTGGTGAAGATGTTGGGTTGCCGATGGAAGTGGTCGTCTTCGACGGAGGGGAGGGAGGCACAGGCACGTCGTCACCGGCGGTCTTGGGGAGGTATTTGATTCCTCGCCGTGGGCAGTTGGAGATAGCTCCGTCGGGCGGCACGGGGACGAAATGTCTGCGCACGGCGGTTGCGTTCAGGAACGGCGAGCGGTGTTGATAGCCAAGAAGATCTATGGTATCGCGGTTGACAGAGTCCTCCGGAGTGGTGGAGCTCGCAACAGCTTCGGCTTCGTTTTCAGTCCCTTGCGTATGAGATGTGTGTCTCAGCGAGCCCATCACGGCGAAATGATACCATACTTCATCCAGCTCGCCGCGGTGGTTACAGCGGAACGTCACGGGCTGGCCGTGCGCAGAGGACCGCATGACAGCGTCCTCCAGCTCTCGCAGCGTATACCGCTTGTGGGAAGAAGGCAGGATGCTGGCCTCCGCGAGCACGGAGTATGTATCGAGCGTCCTGAAAAGGGAGGTCGTGTGGATGAAGTAATCTAGCACATCTAGATGGCGATGATGTCGGCGATTCGGCGAGGGCGGAGGAGGAAGAGCCGCGTAACAGGCCGGCTCGAGTGTTGAAATGCATGTGCCGTGTTTATTCCACTCGTGGGCCCATAGATGCTCGTGGTCGCCGTCGAGGGAGAGCCAGTACGTCTCCATAAACGAGAGCAGGTCGTCGATCATCTCCGAAGGATTTCCATCGTGGTCCTCTGGGTCCTGGTCCTGATCTTTTACGGCGTGACGGAGGACGCTCCGAATATCGGAATGAGAGCGCGAAGAATCGCAGAACGCGTCGAAGCCTCCGGTGCAGAGATCCGGCCAGAGTCCGTGGATCGTCCAAGAGTTGTTGGGCCCAATGGGCGGTGCGGTGTCCCAGAATTGCGTCTGCAGGAAGTGCCCTGAAGGGTGGTTCAGGCAGCATGTGTCTATATCTTGAGGCGGCGGTGAGGGACACGACAACGCGGGAGGATTGGGGCATTGGGCGGGTTTCAAGGTTGATGGTGAAAGGGTGTTGTTGTTGATAATGTTGGGTGTTGTTAAATGATTGGGTAGAAGAAACGAGGAGAAGACGGGGATTTGGCAGAGGATTTGATAGAGATGTGCCATTGCGGGATGTGTGATAAGGGTAAGGTAGGGATAACCAGGTGATGGCAGGTCTTGGTACAGTGATGTGCGAATTCGGTGTCCTGTTCAGCTGGTATAGACGCGTCCCGGGATTAGCGGGTGCTCCATTTCCGAGTACGCTTCTCTTCTTTTGGTTTAGCGTAGCTTGTAAAATTGTCCAATCATCGCAGGATCACTAGGGGGTTATAAATATATGACGTTACAATACTGCTGGCCTGGTGTCATTTTAAGTCTTTTAACGAGAGGTTTCCTGTTGGAGTAGTCTTATCGCCCCTCGAAATGCCAGCCGGAGTTTATCCGCTAGGCCTCAGGATTAAGGAATGTAGTCTGCGACTTATATGTAGCGTCTACATCCTCCTTAGCCAGCGCTATTGGTTATATTTGCTGTTGGCAATAAACGTATCTACGCGTCATAGCAAAGGACTAGTTTCATACGTTTCCGTATCGATACCTCGTTGCTAGAATCAGTTCTCCCTAGCCCGCAGTACGCTCTAATAAGCGTAGCCTTACCTTGTCTCTTCATTATCGCAATGAACGTGGTCTTAACAGCTAAAAGCTACGCTGGTCCAGGTATTATCTCTCCCGGTATCATCTTGACTTCTGCCTAACGTCTACTTAGCCATCGCCGCTGGCACAGGCACCCTCGCCGCGATTGGCACTACCTACGTTCTCCCCGCCATCGGCTTCTGCGCGACTGGTGTCAAAGCTGGTTCAATCGCAGCGGGAGTGCAAGCCTCTCTATATGGAGCTACTGTCCCCGCGGGGGGCATATTTGCTACACTACAAAGCTGGGGTGCAACAGGGGCTTTAGCTGGGACACTTGGAGCTGCGGCGTTGCCGGTCGGGATTGTGGTTGCGGGTGGGACCTATCTTACCGCAAAGGCGCTAGGAGGGTAAAGCTAAGGCTTAAATAACAATCGCTCTTATAAGTATGCGCATATAGGCAAGGTATGCGTCTTCCTTACGCGGATTTACAGATAAGGGTCGATCACGCTGCAGTTGGATCAAGGGCAGTAGAAATATTTAGCAGGCACTACGAGTAACGACGGGGCTGTTAAAGCTTGTTTTGTGAATTGATAAGCAGGCTAGGTAGAAAGACGAGGACGTAGCTGAAAGAGCTATCTACACATCGATTGCGGATATCTGTCACGGCACTGAGGAAGTCTGAGAGGTGGTGACCTTGCCGCTCCGATGCCCACAGCCTAACGTTATTCGTCAAACCTCGGCACAACGAATCAAATGACATATTGTTGAATGTCTGGTAACAACTCTTTTTTTACGGTACAGAAAGTCACAGATCTCAGTCTAACCCTATATAGTATTGTATATGAAAAGGCCGTTGATATTTGAAAGGACTCGAGGTATGAGGGGTGCGCGTGGTTAGCGTTCCCCTGAATATGACGTCAGCGAGGCTAATGCTGTCACGAGGCTGACGACCCAATGCTCATCAGCCCCCTTTACACCTCATCCTGGGGGTATTTGGTTCCGCCTTGCTTTCTGATCTCGTCCATAATCTCCATGACACGGATGGTCTCCTTCCAAGGCATGATCTCATTCTCTTTCCGGCCAGCAGCGATGTCCAGGGCAGTATTGTCCGCCTCGTAAAAGAATCCGCGACCGATGCGAGGGTAGTCGTAGTGCTTGCTTTCAAAATCATTCTTGGTGTTTTCTTTGCGTCGATAGACGGTAAAAGACAGAGGATGTGACGGAGCCGCACCATGCACGTTGATGTACCCTTCTGTGCCTTGTATACGGCAGACCACGTCACCCATGCCACCAGACATAGTGGTGGAACTGACGATTCCCTGTCTTCCAGTTGACTGATATTGTATCAGAATGCTCGAGGTGACCTCAACTCCATGCAAATGGCTCTGAGTAGCAAAGACAGTCGGCCTTTCAGAATTCTCAGGTGTGTTAGGGTCGAGAGCCAGAAAAGCCCATGTTAAGGGGTAGATGCCAGTATCTAACAGCGTGCCCGCCCCAAGATTCGGGTCTTTATACCGTGAAGTGTCCGGTAAGCTAGGGATATGAACCAGGAGGCTGAAATCAGATGACATGCGAAAGACATCCCCGATGACCTGATCTTGAAAGAGTAGCTTCCTCAACTCGGTCACGAGAGGTCGATGTCGGAGCCACATTGCCTCGTGGACATAGACACCTTTCTTCTTGGCTGCATCAAGCACCTCTCGTGCCTCGCGGGCGTTGATGGTAAACGACTTCTCGCACAGAACATTCTTACCCGCGGCAATGGCTCCGAGACAGTTGTTTTTGTGAAAGGAATGTGGAGTGCCGATATAGACGCAATCCACATCTGGATCGGAGTAGACCTGGTCATATGAGGCATAGATGGTTGGGCTTGCACTGGGGCAATGTTTGGCGGCAAAGTCTTTGCCCTTTTCCAGAGACGAGGACCCGATGCATTGGATAATGTGTTTTGCTTTTGCGTCTGGTCGGTTGAGAACGAGATCCTCGACGAACCAAGAAGATATGAGGCCAGTTGCTGCGGGCTGCTGTCAGTGTAGCCCCCAGCATTCAAAGTGGCCGTCACATACACACTATTCCCCAGCGGCAAGTTGGGATCTCGGTAGCCATAATAGGACTTGGGGACTTACTGTGACGGGGCTGTTGGGCGAGCACTTGGGCAATGAAGGAAGCCATTATTCGATTAGGTATGGACTACCTCGTAAATGGTAGTAGTCAAGCCGATGGCGGGGTTGAGAGACGGAAAAAGAATCCGCCGGGAGAACAGTGGCGGATGTCGGTCACATGACATATACACGTGACATAAGTGGGATGCCCTGCAACCCCAGTTAAACCTTCAATTGTGGGTTTCTACCTCGTACCCAAGAACTCGAGTTCCCCAACCCTCCACTTTCCCATCGACGCCCCAGTTATCCACTCATTGTCCCTCTCTTTCAAACCGACGGAATACATTGGACTGTTCCTTTTAACACGATACAGAGTTCGCATATTAGGTACCAGACAACGGGATACACAACACGCACCGGCTCTTCGCTGGCCGAGGTCAAGGTTGAATTCAACGCCCTCACCCTGGTCACCTTGATCAGTGCCATCACATTTTTGCCAGCGGCTATCGCGCATTTCCGCGTTATCGAGAAGTTCGCACCCCACTGGCACGCTTCTCCTACAGTACATCACAGTGCCGCAGAAAGTGTTGGACTTCTGGGCAGCAACCTGCGCTTAGTTGGTGTCGGAAGTTTCCGCCCTCAACGCAGGTTCCCAACTCCCACTGTCGTCGTCCTAGACTGACTTGTTTCACTGCAGTTCTAGATAACGCAACGATACCGCGGTGGTATCCCTAGACATCAGGGCAAGCTCCCTATCGCTCTTCATAATCAAACCGTACCTTCTTGTCACCCGGGCAGGTCATCTTGGAACCCGCAGCCATGGGTCGCTTCACCACCATGATTCTCTCCTGCCTACACAACCTGCTCATCCAACTCCCGCAGAACGGCTACCATAATATCTCGCGTGTCGTGCAGCCGCAAATCCGAAGCATATCTGAGAGTTTCACGATTGCGACTTCCGCTTCAAGGCGCAATGCTGCTGCCCGCAAGGAGGAGGGGATAGAGTTGCAGCCGATGGCGCCCAAGACCTCAGGTGATGCGTCCATGAAACAAGAAGGCGTGGTTGAAGGTGTTCAAGTCCGATAGACCATGGCAGCCTTGATGTGGTTACTGTTCGGAACCAGCAGGAAATCATTTCCAAGAGATTGGATCGAGTTTGATGATGAGAGTCCACGGAAGAGACACCCTCCTGCCGACGACCCTCTACATCCAGAATTGCTCTCCTTACTATCCGTCATCTGAGCGGCGATCTATCTCACTCTAACAGACAACTTCGGAGCCCATATTGCTGGGGAATGCATCACTAGAACGGTCTCTTTTGCCTATGCCGATTCACTCGTTGTCTGGCACCTTCCTGCCTACTGGCAACTGTGGCGGAAATTGTTAATCGAAAGAGTCTCAAACAATCAACCAAGCTGGTACGATTTCGCCCACCTGGTCGAGCGACAATCCGATTGCAGCGGAGCTAGAGATATCCCCCGGCTCCACGATTTGGCACCGAGGTGCTAGTTGAAACCAGAACTCCTTGTCAGACAAATGCTTGTCGCGGCAGGCTTGAAAAATTTCAGGTCCCGTTTCTAGCATACGCCCGGTCATCAAGACCGAAAAAGCGGACGACTTCCCGAACCATGGAAATCCTGCTTTTCCATATTTCCTCGCCCGCCTCGTCTTTCTATGGGATAACAGTGCTCTGAGTCTACAATGTCACCAAAGCTGGACTATCTAGACAAGACAAATTGATATGCTAGCAGGATTGCCTCGATGGGAGGGAGGAGAGGCGGAGTTGAACGTTCCGATTCGAACTAGGCAGGCAGGCAGGCAGACGGACAGATAGATGGGCCGGTCCCACGTTCCCCATCCACCTCCTTGAGGGATCCAGTGTGTCCGACAGCAGATCTATTACATTACGCAGTATACACATCCAGCGACCACCGAGAAGGTTGCTACTCTTCTGAAATACTGTGCAGTATTCTATATTGTATCGTATGGTGCTATGCTGTGCTTTGTTTGTTGCTTTGTATTGTGTTGCGTTGTATTGACCCTCTGACCCTCTGATGCGTCAGTCTGTCCTCTGTTCTCTGTCCTCTGTCCTTCATCCTCTATTATCCTAATGTCATCACGTTACAAAGAAAGTGGTCACTTTTCTTGGAATTGAAGAAAAAGTGTTTATTCAAGAATGAGTTTCGTCTCCGGTTCGAGTTGAGTTGATTCGAGTCGAGTCTTCTCGCTGTGTTCTAGTTCCGCTTTACTCGCGGACGGACACCTTGGCCATCCTGCAAGCCCGGGCTGCATGGCCATGAATTTGGCTCCAGCACTCTTCAATGCCGCGGCCCCAACTCCTTCGGTCTCAAGCACTCATGACAACGTTCCATCACCCCAGTCAGACAAGAAGATCAGGTCCAGACCGGCGCTCATACAATGCCACAATCCACATCTCCCTCATCGTCAATCGTGTGGTATAGCTCATCAAGTCATTATCAAGCACTTGGCGTCCCTGTCAGCAGGCCACTTGATCGTCAACCACAAATATGCCGTCTTCCCTGGTGATACAGCTGGGCCACGGTCTTTGGTTCCGAGTCTTCAGTGCGATACCCGGATTCATTGCTCACCATACTCTCTCTGAGTCCGTGTCGTCTTTCTTCCCTTGCGGAATCGCTCTCATAACCATGATGTTCTGATGCCCTTGGTATGGCGTCTGCTCCCCCGAGATCTCGAGTTCCGGGTCGAAGGTGAAGGACATGAGCCACACCAGTGTGAATTTCTCCTTTGTCATACTCGTCTTGTTTCCGTTCGCTTCCCTTGTTGTCGTTGGCTTCGTGGTCCTGGTAGGCTTGGCAGGGCTGAAAATAGTTTGGCTTCGATGGACTTCTAGGCCTTTCTCCACGGATGATTCGTTCAATGTCGGTTTCCGTCTCGCTGTACGGCAGCCCACTCGATGAATTCAACATATCCAACGCACAGATGCTCTTGCGGTAGACTTCACGATCGCTGCTGGCGATGCTGTGATCCGATTTGTTTTCATCTATGATCCGCTCTATCCGAAGATCACTGTCTGGAGGTGACGAGGGGAGGTCGGAAACCTCGGTAATTCTAGTTAGCACACGTCGTGCAGCGGTTTGACCCATGATGCCATTCTTGAAGTAGTCTGACGTAATCTGTGCCCCGAGAGGGCTCTCGACTGACTGAGGAATTTCCGTAACTCGAGCTGCTGGGGGAAGTGGCATCGGATATGCAGGCGGCCCAGGAAGAGACTTGTCCGTGTCGACGGAAGATGCAATATTGACCCCGCGACGTTGTGTTGCGCCGATCGAGTCAGATCGCGGTCTGATTGTTGGCGCCGTTGCGACGGTCTCGCTGGAGCCTTGGGAGCTATCAATGGGTGTGTTTGGGGTCGTCTGTGCTCGTGGATTTGTGTTTGTCTGTAGAGAAGGTCTGTGGCGAAGGCCATCCCGGTCGACGGCGAACGACACCTCCTTAGATGAGTACCTTGGATCAGACGGTGGAAACCCAATCATGCTGTAGCTCGTAGGAAGGGTTCCTTTCTTATATTTTTCCTTGTCTCTCTCCATTCCGAAGAATCTCAAGGCTTTGGAGGTGTTGCTGTTCCTAGCAGCCACAGGAGCGGTGTCCAAAGAGGTCCGGAGCATTGCTTGAGCCTGGGACATGACGTTCTTGACGTCCTCCCGTCGTGCGAAAACTTCCTCGCGGGCACTACCAAGCTTTTGACGAAGGTTCGCTATCTCAGCGTCGCGTTGGTCGATTTCCAGTGCATGGGCCGTCTGCAAGCTTTCCATGTTCCCTCGCAGCTCTTCGTACCTGCGAAACATCATTTCCGAGTCCATTTGCGTCTCTCGACTCTCGGCTAATGCGGCACGACAATCCTGTAATTTGCTACCCAGATCATCGTTTTGTTGTACCAGAAGCAATAGTTCGTGATCTTTTTCCCGCACGAGTCTGAGGGCTTTCTCGTATCTGTCCACGTACGCGTCGAGACTTTTGGACTGATCTTTGATCATCGCTCCCTGACTAAGCAATACCTTGCGATAATCGCCAACCAGGTTGCGCGCGTCCCGTAGGTCTGCTTCATATTTGTCGAGGGTGTCCTCTGCGACACGAACGTAACTGATTAGCCCGTGAGCCTCCTTGCCAGTGTAGTCAGCTATTAGTTGGAGAACCTGTTGAGTCCTAGGCTCACGGATAGCATCGGCCCAACTGGGGATGTGTTTCTGAATGAATGTACCCAGAAGGTGCGCAACTGCGTGGACCGTATTTCGAAGTTCCGAGATTCTTCGGTCTTTAGCTTCGATTTCCTTGTCTTTCACCACCATCTTCGCCAAAGTGTCTTCTACCTGTCCTTGGAGTTCATTCAGTTGTTCATGAGAGGCCTTGGTATCACGCTCAGCAAGCGATTCTGCGGACTCGACAATCTTGCGATAATCGGCAGTGATCAACCGCATTTGATCGGAGAAGGACTTGAGTGCCTGAGGAACGTCAGATTGAGGAGGGTTCCCAAAGATCACATTTCTTACACTGTTCAAGGTTACTTGGTTGACGCTTGACTCGAGCTTCAAGTTGCCAGCCTGATGGAGGAGAGTCGTCATTTTCTGTAAATGACTGCGCATCGCGGGTAGCCAGTGCTGCGATATGGTCACATGGTCGCATTCAGTAAGTTTATCCAGCAACTCCTCGACGGCCATTGCGGTAAATGGCAGTGTAATTTGCGAAGCTGCAGGAAGGCGGTTCCCGATGGTGTAGGTAGGCATTGTGCTGTGACCAGACCGGTCGTGCTTTCTCAAAGGGGTGGCCAGATTTCGCAAAGCTTCCATTGTCCCGTCATCGGTGGACACGGAGGGGGAGAGAGGCGGCACAGAACTCAAGGTCGATTCCTCGGTGTTGCGGCGAAGCAATCGAAGAGAGGGCGGAGGTGATATAGGGTCTGTTTGTGGGAAACCTTGGCTCGCTAAAAGAAGTGAACCTGGCAACTCTGCCGCAGCCAGTGAATGCAGTGATGTTGGGCTGGCTGGCGTCTCCGGCAGTGCGAAACCTGGCGTGGAGGGTGCGGCAGGGTTGCAGGGTGAAGAACCTCGCTTGATATCAGTTCCTAAAAGGAAACGTTTACGGCGGTCGGTGGGCGTCTTGGGAGTCAAGAGGCCTCCAAGCCCCGAACTCAACGGTGCCAGAGCCTGACCTGGTGATATGGCAACAGCTTCGCAGCTGCTCGATATTCGAAGCGGAGGAGGTCGACGACGGAGTTTGGGCTCAGTCTTTGGGTTCATCTTCCCGTGCACTTGATCCCCAACTGCGAGTTCAGAACAGACAAGTCCACCAAGTCCACCATTGGGAACCACTTTTGTGCCATGAGCCCGTGACGTTGAACCAAAAATGGACGCCATCGGTATAGCCGGATGAAAGGGACCGGGAATATCGAAGGAGGAACAGAAGAAAGAACGAGCCCCCTTTGGATCTGACTACGCTTTTTGAACTTGGAATATGCTCACGTATGCACCATGACCATGCAGAGGGACACCGTTGTTCACATCCTGCTATGCAGGGGGTTGAAGCAGAGATAGTCGCACCTGAGAGAGAGCTTCAACAAGCCTATCCAGAAGAGGATCTGAGAACGAGCCAACCAAGAAGTCATCGTGACGAGCTCGAAGGCCAGATGAGGAGAGATCCGATTGTACTACCATCCCCAGAGTCACCGAGGTCACCTCGTTAGCTGCAAGGAGGCGCCTAAATCAGGCCATCACGAGGCCGGCACTCGACGAATCTCCCCATCGCCCACCTCGACGCGGGTATCATGATGAGACGACCAGTGGCCGAGGGGGGGGTTAAGCCCAGGTCAATATGATAGCCAGTTGACATTGAAGGGGTTTCGGGACAATTATCAGAGCAGCAGAGGACAAAAGAGAAAATAATGAAAAGCAGAAGGGCAAACGAGGAATATGCTGGGCTTCCGAAACAGGATTAGTGCGGGCTGGCAAAACCGCCGAGCCCGTCTCACTGTCGACCAACATCCCGCCAACGATTTCTCCCTCTACCAAACGCATCAAATCCTCTTTTTAAAAAAAAAAATAAAATTAAAAAAATAAAAAAATAAAAAAAATCCCTCGGAGGAACACGATTAGGGCCTTTGACATAGATGCTGTGATCGGCTTGAACATGAATCCTGCGGAGTCGACGAACAGACCACCCAAAAGGGTCAAAACAGATCATACACAGTCGCCATTAGGCACAACGCCTCGCAAAGGCAACGCGAGTAAAAGCAAATACCGATCCGCCGCCATCAGCGCGTCCGGAATCCACAGCGGCGATGTCGGGATCTTTGTTACCTCCGACAAGGGACAGGAGAGGAGATGTTTGCAAGAGCTATCTGATCTGTTAGAAGAGGTCCGGGCCAGTCTTGTCTTGTCATGGACCACCAACTAACTAATCACATCAGGTCTTCGATGATGACCCAGGTAGTCGTCCGCCAGAGGCAGCCCTAGACGTCCAGCGAAATAAGGATGACGAAGGTGACATCGAAGCCGATATACATGCCGAGCTGAACTCCATGAGATCTGAACGAGGGCCCCAAAATGGGCAGTCACAGAAGCTCTCCTTGATTACGCTCGACATACCATGCGTCTCATTTGTTCGATTCCCCAACAACTCCAGACTTGATCCCGTCGAAATTGTCCGCAAACTGTGCCTCTCGGCCTCAAGCACGGAAGGTGCTGGACCGCGAAGTCGCTACGTCAGGAGACTCACGCCGGTGACTTTGATTCGGAAGACCCTGAATGACGGCCTCCAATCGCTTTGTGATCAGGTCCTTCCCAAACACTTTTTGATTGACGTCAACCCGGAAGACGACAAGCAAAGTTCTGGAAGCGATGGCGAGTACAAGCACCCACCATACAAGTTCGCCATCCGTCCGACTATCCGCAACAACAACAAGATTGACCGAGACCGTGTTATTCGGCTGGTTGCTGACAAGGTCGCCTCCCTGGGTCAGGGGAAGCACTCTGTAGACTTGAAAGGGTATGACAAGCTCGTTCTCGTCGATGTGTATCGAAACGTAGTTGGCATGAGCGTTGTCGGGAGCGAATATGAGACATTGAAGAAGTTCAATCTGGCCGAGATTCACGCAAGCCACTATGGCAATGGCGACAAGGACTCTGCAAACGGTGAAAGCTGACGCCAAACGGCAAAGTATTTGATGGCATAGATCTGGGCTGTGGAGGAGATAAAGAATCGTCATCCTCAAGCGTCATTTCCCTCACTGCTAACCCTTCGCATCTTGTTGACGACACGCTTCCAGAAGCCATCGGATCTGTCAGCTTCACCGCGCTGCTCGGTATCCTTCATTGTCCCCTTTGCGCGCCAATACCCGGGCCCATGCTGCTCAATCACCTTCACGCATCCTCTGAGTGTGCCCCGAGCGAGCCAGAAGCCTTGCCAATTTGCTCGAGAGGAATTTTTCATTGTGTGCCGCACTGTCGCTGCCGGCTCTGGTCGGGAATATTCTTCCAGCCACCATTTTCGATATGCGTCGCTGAACCTGATCTGAGGCATTGCGAGCGACTGGGAGCCTGCTTCGGATGTGGACTCATAGGGAATCGCGATCAGTGCCTCGGAGCGCGAAGAAGAATGATCGACAAGAGAGTTCCTGGTGAGACTTAACGGTGCGAATGGGCTGCCGCAAGTAGTAGTAGGAGGCGAAGGTGCTTTCCTGGGTTCCAAGTATGCGGTCGTGTGGTCGAAGTTGACCAAGAAGCCCTGCGCGTCGTACCGACCGTACCTTCTGGCAAGCGCACGGCTGGACTGCCACTCATCCCGCATATCGACGTAGTGAGCAACACCGTCTGATCCGCCGTCACGGGATCCTGGAGGCGACGTACAGCTTTCCAGGAAGTCGGGGAAGCCATCTGTACGTGTATTTTGATCCATCATGAAGAAGAGCTTGGATGCAGATTGTTGGGCTGGGAATAGGCGAACAGTCAGTCAGTCACACCGAGGCCCAAGATCCAGAAACAAGAAAGGCTACCCTTGATTACTGGTTCTGAACCAGCTCAGTGTTAGGGAGTCAATAACGAGCTAAAAGTGACGGGTCGCAACAAGCCAGTCATACAGCCGTTTGCCAGAAACGGGGGACGGTCTTTCTTGCACTCCACCAAACAAGCCTCCTCCTATGCTGGAGGTGAAGGGGAAGCAGAAGGGGTCACCGACAATTGAAGCTCACCTGGATATGGATGATTTCCATTTCTGATCCCGACGTACGGCACGTGCGCTTCCCAAAGCTCGACTGGAGAAAGAGGACTGACGGAGCGGCACTGTCTGAGCCTTCGACATAGCAAATCCAGACTCCATATTATCGCGGTGAGTCTAGCTCACTCCGCTCGAAGACAAGACTAGGGTCGTATCGGGCATGGCCAAATATTAGATATCCGGTGGCCGCACATATCAGTGGTTCTTCAATGGGCAAGCTCCCGACTTTACATCAACACAACCACCAGTGAACGCCAATGGGGAAGAGTTCATCAACCTGAGCATGACGATTGCATCAATCCTGCAGTGGAAGTGTCAGAAGAATACAGTTTCCGAGACGAGTTTCTATTGCCTTGGCCGGTGCGACAATATTGGACTTGAAGCCGGATGAAGAGTTTATAAGGTATGAGGGAGGATTACAGCCATGTTGCACTGAGTGATAGTGTGATAACTCCTGTATTACAAGGGTGCAAATATGAGGATAACTTTACAGGCTTACGGCACATTACTTCGCATAGTTGCTTAGGGGCTGTTTGGAGCAAGTGCGAAACGACAGGCAACTTGCGGGAGCACTTATCGTGCGACCATTTGTGGACAGAACACCCTATTGCCATTTTTATATCGCCACGGATTCGAGAGACATATCCGCATGGCCTACTGAAGACTGAAGAGAGACTGGTGTGCGGCACGTGCGAAACCACAGCTGGTCTTCTGAATCGTCTTGTTCAAAGACGCCACTAATCGACGCTGCCATCTGCCTCCATATTCTTGTAGTTTGTTGTATCTCGGAGCAAATGTGGAGTGTACTACTTTGTGTTCCATGTAAGTTTTGTGGTGGGTGAGATCTACCTAAGCGCACTCCACGTATGTAGTGAGCCAATCAGAACATGGCGAGTGGATAAGGGAACAGTACTCGGCAGCCATTGGTGGGTCCGCCGTGTCTTCGTGTACTTGTTACAAGTGCGGGCCTGGTGCGGGGTAACTGGCCTTGGCTCGCTCTGCTCGTTGTCGTGCAACTTTGTTGGTTTGGTCGCTGCCTGGAAGCAACAGCACCGAGCACCTCCAGCAGCACCAGCTGCCTAATTCTCTCTTTACGCTCACCTCTCTCTGTGTCTGTCTCTCACTCTCACACAATCAAACCTATCAAACCTCCTATGTCCTTCCAGATCCTCTAGAGATAGCCACGAAACTAGCCTCCACGCTTCGTCATGGCTGATCTCGATCTCGATCTCCCGGCCTTTGGCATCCGCGACCTGAACGGCCCTACATCTCCCCCGGGCATCGTTCAGATTTCGGCCTCGCAGTATGACAGTACCATCCGTACTCAACCTGATACCGCCCTTTCGTATATCGACCTCGATGATGGGGAGCTCATCACCGTCGGAAGTTCGTTCGAGCTGCAACAGCGCCTGGAGGAACCTGTACCTACTTCGACCCCTGCCATCCCCTCCCCGGTGAAAGCTGCAAAAGAGGCCAAGGAAAATATGCTGGTACATATCTTCGACATCCGGCACACCAGCAGAAGTTTGGCTGTGTGGAGAGATCACGAGGCATATACGACCAAGAAACTGCGAGAACGACACAGGTCGTCGTTATGTTCGGGCGAAGAAGACACCAGTCCACCCAGGGTAACCCCATCTAGATCTGAACATCGATCTCCTCCCGACAATCCGACCACTCAGGATAAACTGAACAAGTACCCCACCGTCCTCCCTCGATCAACCCAGGTCTCGGACACTACCACTAGTGATGAAAGCAATGCTGGTCAATGCCCCACGGCACAAGCGCATTCCCCTGGTGAAGACGAGAGTCCGTGTCAGAGGGACAAGATCCTTACCAGTCTCTTCACAGGTATCGAATCTCATCTAGGCCCTTTGGCTGACTTCCTTGAGTCCACAGCAGAGGGACTGCGAAAGATTGCCGAAAGGACTGCTGAGGCTGATACCACTCCTGTTGAGTGTGTCTTGAGCGGGTTTAGAAAGATTTTGAAAGAAGCCGGCGAATTGGGTCTCGAGCTATTGGCTACATT